TGTGTTGGGAAATGCCACAGCAAGGACAGTGTGTATTTGTGCAACAGCAGCTTTGACGTAAGCAATCTGAGAGGAACATGACATCGATTGATTAAAGCGTGTGTGTGGGAAATCACAACAAACGGGACAGCCAGTTTAAGATATGAATGTGTTATATTGTAATGGACATTACCAACAGTCAAATAATATCACTCAATAGTTTCTCTTGGCTTCTCAATTTCCTCAACCTTCCTACAATGTTCGTACCATATAAAATAAATGTTAATGACAGAAATAGATGATTAAAAAACAGGATGTGTGTGTGTGACAGAGAGATAACAGGTTAACATGAGTAATATAATGCAGAGACAAGAAGCTATAATCATAAATTAATCTTATAACTAAATGACATCTGTGAGTAGCCTATCTCTGCCATGTTTACATATCGGCCTATCTCTGCTCTCCTCACTCGCATTCTTTCCACAGCTGCTCCGTTCAAACTCTGTCACAATAAAACAGTCTTACTGCAGGAATTATACACACAACAAAAACTGTGAGTGTGTGTTTACCACAGAAGAAGAAAGAGTTTATGGAGAGTTTTGTTACCCTGAGATTTAAAAGGTCCTGAAAGCTACTTTGTCAATAATCTTCTTATATAAGTTTTAACTGTTTCCAGATCTGAACAAAGGAAAATGTCGAGAAAAACTGGGTCTTCCACATGAAGAACGCAGCAGGAAATTGTCTGTGTCAGACACATTTACAACAGGAACATTTCCGGAACAATAGGGTGTGGGGTGGCTTGTGGGTAAAACGTTGTCAATGTCAGGAGACACCAGAGTAGCGTGTTATGAAAGTCACTTCTTGAAATCTTTGACCTGAGCTTAAAATAGTTCACATGACCCTAAAACACCTTTCACCACCTCTGGTCAAAGAACAGTCATGAAACGTATGTACGGTGAGTGCATATCTCTGAGTGAAAGCCACAATTTGCAACATGATGAAAATTCCTCTCACTCATTTCGACATATTACATATTACATACATACTGATGAAAACTGATTCACATTTTGACCCACGTTACTGTGGGAAACATGACACTGTAAATCTTACTGCACAGTCTGTAGCAATCTTTTCTCTGCTTCAGTGACCAGTGTTGGCCGGCTCAGGGTGAAAACCACAATGTGCCGCTTCGGTTGTATATTCAGGATGTGAGGGAGGGATAGTTGGTTAGGTAGTTCAATAGGCGGTTGGTTAGTTGGTTGGTTAGGTGGTTTGTTATATGATTGGTTGGTTAAACTCTTTGGATGCTGAAATATTCTGTAAACTGAAGCAAAAATCCCTTTCCTCCACTTATCCTCTTTGACAACAGGACAACAACAAGCCCTCCCTCCAATCTTAACCCCTATAAAACACAACAAGCTGTAGACACTCCACCTGGTTAGTACAGTAAAACTGTCCCCAGCCTCCAAAGTGCTGCTGTCAGGGATATTTATGAACCTGTTACGTAAGGTTCATAACACAAGAGTGTTTAGAACATATACTTGACTGTGAGGACATGTTTAAGACCTGAATCAATACGTCTATCATCAGAAATAATCAACAAATATTGTACATTCAGATAAAGAATATCTCAAATTTGCTGCTTTCTCTATTATCAACAAAAGGAACCTGAGTATATTTTGTTTTTATTCAATATAAAGCTGCTTTTAGACAGATGTCCAAGTCAGTTGATGATGATCACATATGTTTCTTTTAATCTAACTAATGTTAGCAGCACCTGTCCTCGTCTAAAGAATCCCTCAGTGACAGTGAAAGTCTGGGGGGGAGACGGGAGAGGCGGGGTGCAGCAGACACCCAAATCTCTTATCTACTAGCATCAGGATTTCTCTCTAATTGCTTCAAGCTGACAGGTTAGTGTGTTGCCGCTGCAGGGTCAAATGTGTAATGTTACCCATTACAGCCAGAGCTAATGCTGTTACTGCCACTAAGGCTTTATGTAATGTTATTGTTCTTTCAGTTTAAACAGAAGGAGCTGTTTTGTCCTGTTGTCTCATCCTGTGTCTCCATCCTACACAGTCCAACCTTCACTATGTCCACTATCTAATCTTGCTTACGTAGCACGGAGCTTTGTCTCTTAAACCTGACATTGATAAATGGCATCCTAAAGTTTTTTCCTTTCTACAGTTTTTTATTTTTACCTACCTTCATTCAAATGGGAGTCACCCGACTCTTTGTTCATCACCACTTTCTCTCAATTAACCTTCCACTTCTTATCCAAGCAAAAGCTTTCGTTCCTTTTTCTTTTTCTTTACTGCCATCGCACTCCCATCCCTCCCTGTTCCTTTAGACCTTTCCTTGATGTTGAGGTCGGAATGCCTGGAATGTTTCCCATTCTAATCATGAAGACACAAACACACTCACGCATTTCTGTCTTAGTGAGGACACTCATTATATAACCTTAACCATCCCAACTAAACCAAGTCTTTACCCATTAACAGCCTTTTGAAATGAGACCGTTCAAAAACTCACTGCATACACACACACACACACACACACATAAACATAAACATAAAATCCCAATTTAGTCTTTCATCACTGATATAATTGGTGGTGGTTTAATAACATAATATACCAGTTGGAGGTGTACCTAATATATATTATTTTATAATATATATATAATATAATAGCTGACTTATCAAACAGATGATTAACTGCATTAAGAGACTGTCAGGCAGATTACTACATTATACTGTAATAGCAACAAAACAATAGAAATCACATTATACAGTGTATTTGAATAATCAAATCTTCTACCTGTATCTGACATAATCTGCCTTCAGAACTTTCTGAAAAAGTTGTGTGTTAGCAGCTACATTCGACTCTCTGGGTCTTAATCTGAATTTAACTTTGCCACTTTCGGTTTCTTACCTGACAGACAGAGTAGCAGTGTATGAGGAGGCAGGCGCTGACACAGGCGCACACCGCCCTGGAGACGAAGCGAGAAAGCAGCAAGAACAAAACACTTCGCATCATCAGCACAGGTTCTCCCCAGACGAGCACCACCAGGGACATGTGCCTCCCTGTCAGCCTCAGGTCCTTCACCCTCATCTATTTAACTGAGCTCCTGGCTAAGGTGCTGCCTTATTCCTGTTATTTGGCGTCAGCCAGTCAGTCTGTAAATCCCTGTTGTAAACTGAGGCTTGCGTTGCCTGGTTGGTAATCCTCCTCTCTCACACTGACCTCCTCTCCATCTCTGCAACCTCTTTTTGTCAATTCAATTTTTGACATCCTGTCCCTCCCCCCTTCCTCTCGTAACACTTTCTCAATCAAGCATATCCATGTATGACCTGAAGCTATCATCTCTCTCTTTCTTTCAACATCTGCCTGCTTCGACAAATCCACTTTTCTTTTACTTCCTCTCAACCTCAGGGCACAGGAGGTGTCTTCTTTTTCGCCCGAGTCCAACCTTTGTTCTGGCCGTCATGTCTCTTTCACTCTAATCCCCAGAGGGTCTGTACTGATCCCCAAACTGAGCTAAGATTCTTCATGAGGGACTGGCAGCACGGGGGTAGGGGTGGGACAACAGGCCTTCCCATATACGCTCCCAGTGCCACCTCTCCCTCTGCCTGCATGACAAATTCCTCAGTGGTATGTTACCTACAGGCGTGTGTGTGTGTGTGTGTGTGTGAGCAGAACCTGTCAGACCACTATCACCTGCTACAGGAGTGACTACATATACTCTGAGGGTGTTTTCAGTTAGTGTCAGAGCCCTTTCCACAAAAGTAGTTGATTTTAAACCACATCCCTTTCCTCTGAATTCAGTCTCCACTGTTAAAGTAGATCAGCTGTGGTGGTCCACTGAACATACACAAGGTGGCACCTTCAACAACCACATTCAGAAAAGACACGTCGGAAAAAAGTACGTTTAGCCATTTGTCATAGTGTTACTATACTACTGGTTGTAATAGTACGTGAATGTGTCTTTACGTTCTATATTTTAGTGCTGAAACAAATTGTTGATCATTCAAACTAGTCTGCAACTTTAATAATGGAGTAATTGTTATTCAATGAGAGAAATGAACAAATAGTTGCTGCTTTTCTTTCTTTCATATTGTGAATTGAAGGTTTTTGGAGAGATGTCTGAGAAAACAAGACATTTCACCTTCTACAGTTCAAAACTCCATGAAAATGTATAACTAAATATCTCACAGCAGGATGAACAACTACAATAAATTTGGTTTCAGGCCATGTCAATACCAACATTAGGGGGTAAAACATTTCTGATATTGATATATCAGCCAGCAAACATAAATGCCAACAGCAACATGTATGTGACAGGCTTTCGGCTGATTTATCGGCTAATCTATAATTCGGTCAGACTTAACTAAATCTCCATTGTTTTTAGCTTTGTTTGCTACTTACACATTGATGCATCAGTATATGATAAACATTCTTCCTTATGTTGAGTTACGTTATGTTCTGAATGAATTGTTCCTGCTCTTACTGGAGTATTTTTTACATGTGCCATTGCTTTAAAGCATCTGAATATTTCCTCCATGCTGCACGGTGCTCTCATTTGCAAAGCAAAGCGAAGTGAGCTGTTGACAATAGTTTATTGTTACTTGTGTTTGAGAGGTATTGATTTTTACTGTCAATTTGTAGAAATGCAATAGATTGTAAATAGATAGAAATTATATAAATAGAAATGGATTCAATAAGTAAATAGTTTAGAGTTTATTTGTATTGCTAATTAACTTGATATCATGGATTTTGTGTATAAGTGCTGTGGGAGTGATGTGTGGGACTTTGAACAATGAGTGGCATGGAAAACAAGTCTGCAATTGTGGCTCACGTGAACAAGCATGTATGAATAACAATCGTCACGTGTAGGCTGCGTATTCAAACTCGCAGTGTGTTTTCGTCTGCCTGACTTCCATCATCTGTCAGCTTACCCTGATTTTCCCCGTTTTCTGTTCCGCTGCATGTCTCATGATGTCTCGGGGGAAAATATTAATCTTTTGTACAAGGCTGTGTGTGGGATGCAGAAAGTTTGAGTGAAGTAATCTGCAGATTAGATATAAAGTAACATGTGCATTGTTTAGCCGGGTAGAAGTTCATAGGAATTTGCATCTAATAACACTCAAATGTCAGGGACAGAGTAGATACTGTGTGTGAGAATGAGAGAGCAAGACAAGAAGAGAGAGAAAAAAAGTACCATATATGGCAAAGACGTCACCTAGCAACCGGCTCTACTTTCAGCCCAATTTTCCATGACACACACTCAACTCTGAATGCAAAAAGGCATCGCTGCGTTTGTGTTTCTGAGCATGCATGTGTGAGCAAGTATGCTCACGTCACTGAGCGTACAAAATGTAACTGGTTTGGTTGGGAGCTGACAGCATGGCCCCAGCCTTCTAAAGCCAACAACACACACACACACACACACACACACACACACACACACACACCTTCGATTATTGACTGTAAAACTGACAACAGAGCTCTTACACAACTCTGAACGAACACGATGTGCCCATTAAAAAGCTCTTATCATAAACCACACTCGACCGTCATCATGTTTGTTGCAACAGCTTGAGTGCAACTCCTCAGGTTGCTCATTTCCTGGCTGTCACTGTAACGGCCAGGAAATTACACTGTCCCAGGACCTGCTGATTCTCATCAGCATTACCAGAAACCAAATCAATTGAGTCTGCCATGTGGGAAAATTTGAAAATGACATAAGTATTCCCAAAGCTGCATAATTAATTTTCATCAGCTGCATTAAAAAAGATCCAACATTACAACAGTGGAAAAAGGAAATGATATTACTCAAATATGGAGATGACTCCCACACCTAATTCATAGGATAGACCTATCACAAGCTGTGTAGTGCTTGTATTATCTGATTAAACTGAAAGGAAAACATTAATTTGACCAAAATTTGATAATTGATTAGTTATTTTTATCGCTTTTTGAAGCAAAAACTCAATATTCTCTGATTCCAGATTCTTCTAAGTAATGATCTGCTGCTTCTCTATTGAAGAACACTGTTATCTGAATATATTCGTGTTTTAAACTGTTGTACAGACACATTTCGGGCTCTAACTGTGCATCCACGTGGAATAATCAGAAAATGTTGTTTATGATCATTTATGTTTTATATACGCTAACAAATCCAACAAGATATGCAGATAGTGAAGTAAAGTTTGTGAGTGTGTGTTTCTTTCTGTTGTGTGTGTTGTGGCATTTTATAGGATTGTCTCAGCCTGTTTTGTAGATATGTGATATCTCTGAGAAACTGAAACGTTGACGTTGGATTTTTCACTTTGATACACTCACTTTAAAAGACGGCAAACAGCGACATATCAGATATCAGCCGTGGCTCAGTGGCCTCTCTCCACCTTAACGTGATCACGGAGACAGCAGAGTTCGAAGCAGCTGTCAGAGTTAAGTGTGTTTCTCTGTGTCACGTCTTTTGTCTTCCTCTCTGGAGAAAAAGACGTAAATCACCAGATGGGGTGGAACGTCTGCTGTGGAAAAATGGCTGGGGCTAAATCATTAAATGATTTACGTGAGTACAGTCTCTGCCCAGTTTCTAGGTTTAGTGCAACCTAGTGTGAATATCAAGCTGAACATCTTCAGGCCCAAATGGAGAACGTAGACTTTCAGGATTCCCACACTGTTGAGAAGAGAGGTGGGGACAGTCTATCGAGGACAGACTCTGTTTAAAGGCCTTGTCTCATTCCAAGCATTTTTAGTCACAGTGCATCAAAGCTTTCTGACTCATCTGTGACTTCCTACATGGAAACTTTAAACTGCATCTCGTGCCTGTGGGAGAAAAAAACCTTCAACCTTTGGCTGGGGCAGCAAACTAACGTCTAAATCGCTCTTATAGCATTTGTACAGTCTAATTGTGAATTAGCTGAACAGCACTGAGATAGCAACTGCAATTTGATGACAAATCCCACAGACATGCATTCAGAGACAGTCCGACAGAGGGCTGAGCTCATCACAGCCTTGTGATGGTGAGCCATGGGAGCTGAGTGACACAGATCTGAGCCAGTTTCCTCCACTTTGGTTTAAATGTGTTATAGTCATGCTCTGTTTATCAGGGTGGTGTGAGTTAAGGCTTTGAACAACTCCTTTGACAAAATATTTCAAAAGTCATTGGTTAGATTTGATTAAATTGTAATTTAACACAAACAGATATCCACCACACCACTCAGGACACAAGCTGAGTGGTAAACCTGATTACTTCCACCAAGGAGGTTATGTTATCTTCAGCGTTTGTTTGTTTGTTTGTTTGTTTGTTGAGTGAGCAGGATTACATAAAAACTACAGGGGAGATAAGCAGGAAAGTTGGTGGAAGGATGTGACTGGGATCAGAGAAGAACTTATTACATTTTAGTGTGGATCTGGGTCCTTTACTTTCTTTATAATTGTGAGATAAACTGTCTATAAAACATTTTCATTGATTTCTTGGAGAATAATTTGTGGATCTCAGCAAAAAATCAATCAGGCATGTTTAGGGGACTGATATGTATGAGTATGCCCTTCAATGACAGCCATTCAGTTTGTTTCGGACTTCCTCACGGACGTGAGGCCAGCGGCTTACAGTCCTATCAAATATTGTCACAACCACCCTGAGACCAGACCTGATACTCTGGTCCAACACCCTGCCCGTCGTCTATAATACACAGTATGCTGTTGATGAAGCGAATGACAGGAACAGGCTGCAGTATGCAGACATGGCATTTGAGGCACAGCAACGTGGCTGGAAAGCAATAGTTTGCATTGTGGAGGTTGTAGACCTTTATTCACCGACAAGCCCTGCACCAGACCATAAAATAAACTCACACACTGAAACACCTAATGATGCTAAGGTACACAACTGAAGATATGTCCCTATTTCACCTGCTAACATCTACTGTTAGGTGGTAACTTAAATTGTGCAGAAGACCTTATTTGCCATCTTGTCCTATATTCTAAATTATTTTGGGAATCGGAAAAATTCAATGTGACACAGTGGCTGACTGCACTTCAGCCTGGTGACTTGACAGACATGACGTGTGTGTATTCTCTGACTGATGTGAGGGTCATGGTGCAACATCAATTTGTGTGAAGTAAATCTGGAAATGCATGTGTGCGTCTTACTGCTCCTCTGAGCTGTGTGGTGACCTGTACCTGGGGCTACAGCTGTGACAGGATGTAAATGTTGGCCTGTGAGGAGTGGGGGAGGAGGGAAGATTGGTTCTCCAGAGTACCTGACTACAATATAAGAAGTCAAATATTTCATTGTTGCATTTGTTTGATAACGACATCTTAGAAATCATTGATACTTCTTTGGAATATATGCCTACTTAACACTGGTATCTACCCCAGTCCCTAAAACTATGTATATGGATATGAAGATTGATTTTTGATTTAAAATCATTTTTGTTTTATATAAACTATCAAAGGGTGTGTGTGATGAGGAATGATGACGATCACTCAACTTCACTACAATATTTGTATTTGCTATTCAAAGCAGTGAGGTCAGTGTATGACTTTTTAGTGAGACTGCTTGTGACTGTTAATAATGAAGTGTTGTGATAGAGACATGTGGAGGAGACACTCACCCCTGTCCCATCGTCCGGGCTGCACAGAGACCGGGCCGGAGACAGACTGGACTCGATGTCGCTGCCGGTGAAGTCGTCCTCTGACTCCTCGAAGGAAGACGCAGAGGACAGGCACACTGAGGACGAGTTGGACAGCTTCCTCGGGGAGCGCATCAGAGCCGGGGACCCCCCGCAGCCGCTGTCCGAGCAAGGGGACTCGACCTCGGCGTGAGGCTCGAGACTCGAGCTGAGCTCCGCGGAGAAGCTCAGCAGGGCCGGGGGACTCCCCTCATAGCGGGCAGGGCTGGGGTCTCTGGTTATGATGAGTTTCGGTATGGTTCCCGGGAAACTCGGGGCCTCTGGGGGGGTGAAGGGGCCCTGATCCGAGTCCGTGCGGGTCTCACTTTCAACCACGCAGTTGTTCTGGTCGCCGGCCGCTGTGGGCGGACACGATACTGTGTTACGGTCGGTTTTAGTCATTTTAGCCTCCGTTAGCGAAAGTCCACGATCCAAAGGTTGATCCGGGATAATGCTAAACAAAGTGTCTGGGTCAGAGGCTGCGGTCACACTCGTCTCCGTCAATACCCGAACACCAGACACGAAACGAGCGTGGATGTTCCCCCCCAGTGGCTGATCTTCCATGGCCCTCGCCGGGGGATCCGAGGCATTGTCCTCCCGCACGGATTTCTGAACCTCTCCGCCCGCACTGCTGACTTCACCGCGCCGCCTCTCCAGGTCTGACGCATCGGACGAGCCCGCCGCTGCCCTCTCTCCGCTCACGACGCGCCGGGCGTTCTCATCTAGGCCGGACGGTGCCTCGAAACAACCCGGGGCGGCTCGGTGCCCCCCACCCGCCGACACGACCTCGTCCCTCGGCAACTTTCCCACCCTGTGATCGCGGCGCGTCGCTGCCTCGGCTCCGTTTCCGCAACCGAACGCCGCCTCCGTCTGGTCTCGCTTTCTCCTTCCCAGACACGACAGCACTTTATTTTTCATCGGATTCCTGTTTGACCGGTGCCCGCGTCGCTTCTCCCCGCTCCTGGATGTGCGGACACGGAGTCGCTGGGTTGTCTCGCCTGCTTCCCTCTTGGCTCCGGAGGTGGTGCCGCCGCTGCTGCTGCTGCTGCGCGATAGATCCGAGCGCGTTTGGCCCATCCCGCATGCCGTAGTAGTAACAGCACAGCCAGACACACCTTCACCAGTGGATTTTGAAAATGTTTGAAACCAAAGAGTCCTACAGAGCACAGTCAGCCATTAGTCATAGAATCCATTTACTGTGTGAAATCTCAACATGATCCATTCTCTCCACGTAGGACTAGTTCATATCTGTGAGAACAAAGCATGAATCATTTAGTAAACACATTAATTGCCTGTTATTACAATACAGTCAGACCACTCCTTCACCTTAAACTCCAGTATACTGATAATGTTACCATTGTTTGGTTTTTGGCTCCACAGTTTAAGTGAATCTGTGATTTATCAGCTCTGAAATAATGTGAGGATAAAGTCATCTGAACTGGTAAGTAATTTAAAGGTTACAGCACAATAAGAAATTCAAAGTTTCAGGGAGATTAGACTCAGTTTCAGTAGTGTTGTTCAGTGTGATGCTGCCCCCTGTGTGTGAACACTGAAGGCCTGTCCAGGCCAAGCCTCTTTTATCACTGCAGCAATTCCATTTAGACACCACTGGATACACAGTATGTTAAGTGTTGTTTGGTTTTATAAAAAATAAAATATGACAAAAGGTGGTCAGCATAAAGCATATTTCTGTATGAAACAAAGCATCAGCATGTTGTTCTGAAACTGTAGAAGAATTCTTGATTCAATTTAGCTCTCACTTCTCAATGGACATTTTCCACAGCACCATTTAAACATGAAGTGTAAACATTATTAGTCTGTTTGACACGTTGGGCTTTTTAGACTGTTGGTCAAACAAAACGAACACATTTCAAGGGCTGAAGAAAATAATGATTGTGCTAATCTACTCAGCGGTTAATCGATAATAATTGTTAGATTAAACTCTTGTTAAAACACAGCTGATACAAACAGTGTGTGGGATTCAACAATGTTTGGCCATAATTAATAATGAAATATAAACTTTGAAATAACTGCTCCTGTCAAAGACATATTTCAGAAACACAGTACGGCATCCTAGAAAAATTCAAAGTATTCTACATTAGACACAGTGAGTCGCTGTGTGTTATTCAGAGTCATTTACTGTGACAGGGCTGCAGTCACCCTGCTGTCAGTATGGAACGCTCACAAAAAGGAAATGAGACAGGAAGGATAACAATGGAAAAGAACAGCTCATCATGTGCCACACACACATACAGATTACATTCCTGTTTCATCAAAATCAGAAATAATCAAACATAATGACTCAGACAGGAGTGAGAGTTTTGTACCATTCTGAGATCGTTTCCATTTGAGTTACTTTTATCACTCCACTCCATTTGTTATCTTCAGTTTTTTTAACTTCAGATGTTTGAAGATTGTGATTTTACATCCAAAACATAAGAGTAGGTCAAAATATATGTTTTACATGAATCTACCTCAACCAGCTAAAACCTTACAAAACATAAAAATGGTATTATTAACAGAAAATGCATTTTCATCATGTCACTGATGAGTACCTTTGATTGGTGCTAATACTTCTTCTTTTACTTATTACGAAAGAAGGACTTTAACTTGTTATGGAGTATGTGTTAAAAATGTTATTTAGATTCCTCAAACTAATTTAAGACTTTACTCCATACACCCAACAAAAAAGCTCAACCCCAGTATCTTCACATCCGACCAACTTAAATAAAGTGTCAAACATAAATACACATACATAAACATAGTATATTATTGTAAGGTAATGTTCTCTCTATTGAGTATCCCCATAAATGATCCTACATCAACAAAAACTTCAACTACAATACGATTCTTAAAATTTGCTCTATTTGTATTGATACTTTTACCTCACATATTTATAAGATTTATCAAATATTTCAGGTTATGATCAGTTCACTTACTGGAAAGGAATAATACTAGAGAGTAACTTACCAGACAGAGGCTGAGTTGCTGCTCTGGTGAATGTGAAGCAGCTGTTAGAGGCTGATAGGGATGTGGAGGGTTTTTAACTGTCAGGCTGTGAGGGGGTTGTGTCTGTGGCTAGCGCGTGTGTGTGTGGAGTTGTGTTGTATAAGCGTATGTGGTTGAAGTGAAAGAGGAAATAATGCTTGTCTAACAGTGCAAAGAAGAGTCACTGTTATTTTAACTGTCACCTAAAGCTGATCTAACTGATGATTAATATCAATAACAAAGAGACCATCACAACTGGCAATCAAACAAAATTGGAAATTAAAGATGTATAACTAGTTTCACACTTTGACTAAAATCCACGCGCTATCATTTCCATGAAATCAAACTCTCCCAGTGATTTTGAAACATCGAGGTATCACCATTGAAGAGTTTTTAAACTTGTCTTAGCTTAATCCATGTTTCATTTATTAGAAATAAAGTTGTATAAAGATGGACGAAATGTTTCATCTCCCTTTCCAAAAAAATGTGTATTGACAATTAGTGTATCAAGGTCCAAAACATTTAAAGACAATTTTGATAAAGTGAAAACTTTGACTTTTTAGTTCGGTTACTTTCCAATTCTGTACCCCAGTCGAGGCAGCATTTATGACATGTACTGCAGTCAGTCATTAGGGGGCGATCAAGAACAGTTGGCTTCACTTCTGGGGAGCTGTCATGCCATCCATAAGGCTGCAGTCTGGTATCAGCCCACATCTAGGTAAATATGGTTCATCTCTTAAATACTGTTGTAGCTATGTGGATGAAAACTATTCCACACATGTAACGATGAACCAGAGTTAATGTTTTCAATATTATTTCTCAATCAATAAAAAGATAACAACCACAACCAGGGACAGAGGACATTTTTTAAATCTTGGAACAATTGAAATGTTTTTTAAAGTGCTGATGACCGACAGCATTCGAAAGCAGCATGTTCCTGCTTTGTTTTTAAATCCTTTTAGATCGTGTTTGTATATTTACATGTTATAATATGTCAAACTGAACTGAACATTTTTTGAAGGTGGCGTCGTTCATTAAAAAAAATCAACGCGCACATTTGGACTTTTTGGCACATCGGAGTTGCCGTAGACGCGGAAGTAGCGTTGCACAAGCGGCCATCAGGGCACCGGCGTGACATTCACCGGACTGTCGGAGCTGTGGGCTCGTGTAAAAGGAGGAATAACACCAGCCCTTCTCCGACCGAGCCGTTGTCACAATGAGACTTTTAAAAGCGGGTCTGTGTTTGGCCAGGACGCATCTTTTGTCACCAGGAGGCGTCACTGTGAAGAAGGTAACACAGAATGAGTACAACACGGACTGCAGATCTGTGGAGTGGGTTGAGTATTGATCCTCCTGTGTCTGTCTGTGTGTTGTTTCTCCAGGTGCTCATCAACAGCTGTCGGACATGCTCCTCCGGTATCATCCCCAACGAGATGATCCGCAACATCGGGATCTCTGCTCACATCGACTCGGGGAAGACCACCCTGACCGAGCGGGTCCTCTTCTACACGGGCAGGATAGCGGAGATTCACGAGGTGAGCGCCGGGTTCGTGCATGTCCGGTGTATGCATCATGTATCCAGGTTAAGAGGTCACAATGTGCAGTACTCAGCTAGTGTCTCTCATGTGCGGCGTGCAGGTGAAGGGGAAGGACGGTGTTGGAGCCACCATGGACTCCATGGAGCTGGAGAGACAGAGAGGCATCACCATCCAGTCAGCTGCCACATACACAATGTGGAAGAACCACAACATCAACATCATTGACACACCAGGTACTAAAAGTTGTGACCCCACCTGAGGCTTAAAGGGGAAAGTAATGTGCTTTATATCCCTGTCGATCAGCGGCTGAATGTAATTAAGTACATTTACTGTGACTTCAATTTTGAGATATCTAAACCTAACACGAGTATTTCTAATTTACTCCATGTTTATTTTTCTATTCTACTACATTCCAGGAGGAAATACTGCTCTTTTTACTCTACTACACTCATCTGGCATATGTAGATATCAGTTATAAATTAAGGTTTTACATACAACCAGAATAGCATTCAGTAGAGTGTATATCTACGCCAAGGCCCAACAGCCCCCATATGAGACAATGTTTCAGTTAAAGAGAAATCAATGGAAATGTCAATGCTCTGTCTCACATTGTTAAAGAAAATCCTGAATCTGCCTCCAGATCCCATCCAGTAGTTTTTGAGAAATCTGCCAAATATCAGACAAACAAATGCTGATGAAAACATAAACCATGAATGGACATACATGAAACAGCAGTATGCAGTATCATCATAACTTATGTTCACTTGTAAGGTTCAAGCTCCAGACAACTGGATACTGTATTTCCCACAATGCTATTTGGCAATATATTTTTATTAGACTCCCTGCTTGGTATTTGTCCGTAAATCAAAAGACATACAACTATTCATAAATGTTAATAGTACAGTAGCAGTAAAAAGAACTTTCTTTTCATATTTTCTCTCTAAAATGTACTTATTCAAAAGGAGAATAGAACCAAATGGTTTTAGATCAAAGAGAAAGCTACAAAATGTTGTGCAAGACAAAGTAAAGGTAGATTTTCATGTCTTTCTGGACGGTCAGTGCCCCCAAAGTTAAACATGTTGTGAGGGAAACTATTTTTACATTATAATGAATGTGCAGTTGCTGTTAAATACATTTATTATGCAGTTGAAATTGTAAACGCTGAGTATAAACATGCTTGGGAGTCTGCCCCCAATATTTATTTTTTTTGCAAAAGCTTCAAAATGCTACAGAAAGTAAAAGAAGAGAAGAAGTTACTGTATTGTAATAACAGGAGGGAATAGAATCAGCTATTTCCATACTTGTGATCAAAGTATGTTGCCGCGCTCTGACACGGCAGCGAGGAGACTTTACCAGCTCCAGGACTGTTGTACTCAACTCAAAGGTCTCACCAAATCGTGTTTACTTTCCTGGATGTCTAAATGTCAACATCCGCTTTGTGTCGCCCAGGTCATGTGGACTTTACCATCGAAGTGGAGCGAGCGCTACGTGTGCTGGATGGGGCCGTGCTTGTTCTGTGTGCCGTGGGAGGGGTCCAGTGCCAGACCATGACCGTGAACAGACAGATGAAACGCTACAACGTGCCCTTCCTCACCTTCATCAACAAGCTGGACCGCACGGGTGCCAACCCCATCCGAGCCCTGCAGCAGCTGAGGTACAACATGAAACTGAGCTGGATGCTTACAGTCAGAGGTTTTGTACATTTAAGTCATTAAAAAGTATCCCATATCGTGATATTGCAGCAGAGATCCCAGATCAGACCTAAAATCAATGTGTTTTCCAGGTGTTTGTGGATGATGATCTCACTTCTACATGCATTCAGTAGGCCTTTTCTGAATGGTTGCTAATTTATCAGTCATAAATAAACCTGACATGGATACAAGCAACTATGGTTTTCCTGGATACATTTTTGTTCGTGATCATTCACATTTTCAAAAATCTTTTTCCTCAGAACTAAACTGAACCACAACGCAGCCTTTGTGAGCATCCCCATTGGCCTGGAGGGAAACATGCGTGGCATAATTGACCTTGTGCAGGAGCAGAGCATGTACTTTGAAGGGCCATTTGGGTAAGAGATTCTCCACTGGTACATTGTCCATGAAGAAAGCAGTTTCTCTCAATGTCATTTGATTATATACTTTTTTTTAACAGCTACAATAGTTTATTACTGTTAGAACACAGTTTTAGTTACAGCAGAATTAAAAGACCTGTACGTGTCAGAGACAAAACAAATATGAAACCAGCTCAAACTCTTTCTTCCTCCCTGCAGTCAAAATATCCGCTATGATGAGATCCCTGCTGATTTTCGTGCCGAGGCTTCAGACCGGAGGCAGGAACTGGTGGAGTGTGTGGCCAACGCTGACGAAATCTTGGGAGAGATGTTTTTGGAGGAAAAAATCCCCACCAATGACGACTTGAAGGTTTGTGACTTTCAAGAGTATTTTAAACCTATACTTGATTCATCATAGTTTAAATAACAGTTATATTTTGACTTTACAAGCAAACAAGTCTGTGTCTGAAATCAATCACTTCTCATTATAGTCAACTTTAAAGTGGGATGGCCATTTTGTAGTTCTGTGCGAATGTTTAGTGAGATTTGTTATGGACATTTAGAATCCTACAACAATCGATGGTCTATAACCTAGCAATTTCAACCATAATGCATTGCGTTCACGCTGAATGAAAGAATATTTTCAGACAAATGTAAAGAGAGAAACAAAAGCAGCACTAAAGTTATAACCTGTTGCTCAAATGTTAAAACATTGTGGAGACTTTTCACTTTAAACCACAAATCCAGTCAATCTGCAAGTTGCGCAAGAGGAACAGTCAGGAGGTCATCACAGTCCGTCTGATTAATCCTCTGGAAACAGTGACTTTTTCTACTGAATTTCAAAGCAATCCATGCTGGTTAAGACTTTTATTATTATCAAAAATGCCCAAACTGAAAAGGCGATCCAGCAAATTCACTCTGTGCTATTTCAGTGGTCCCCAGAGTGGTGGACAAAGTCACGCTGCTCGTGTTGCTAATAAAATAAAATAATACAACGAGACATCTTTGACATCTAACTTTGATAAATTTGCGTTCAAACCAAGAGTTTGGAAAATGGACAAACAAGGCTTTGAAATTCATTCAGAATACCATAAATTACAAACTGGGACAAGAACTCGATGTGTTTGACTGAAGAATAAAAATAAAACATTAAAAGCACAGAACTGTGCCTCAGTCTCCGTCCCTTTTATTGTCTTGCAGGCAGCAATCCGCAGAGCCACGGTGCAGCGTCTCTTCACCCCAGTGTTGGTGGGCACGGCGCTGAAGAACAAGGGTGTTCAGCCTCTGCTGGACGCTGCGCTGGATTACCTACCCAACCCCACTGAGGTCAAAAACTATGCCATCCTCAATGACGAGTGAGTGGGGGTGTCCAACAGTAATAGTGGATGAAATAAGGTCTGAGAAATGTGTTAATATCAGTGTCTTTTTCATCATCTTAGAGAAACTAGTGAAACAACAAAGCTTCAAATGGACCCGACAAGAAGTGCTGTAAATCCTTTCGTTGGTCTGGCCTTCAAACTGGAGGTGAGAGATAAGTTCTGTCTCACGTCCAGTTTTTTCTCAACAGGAACGTCTCGTTTCCTCATGATTTGTTGTTCCCTCTGGTTTCTCTCTTCAACAGGCGGGAAGGTTTGGTCAGCTGACGTATGTGCGGGTGTACCAGGGCTGTCTCAAGAAAGGAGAATACATCTACAACACACGCACCAGCAAAAGGGTCAGAGTTCAGAGGCTTGTGCGTCTCCATGCCGACCAGATGGAGGTGAGAATGAACCAGCCAACCAACCAGACAGTTCCATATTTGTTGTTTAAAAGTTAAATAGCATCAAAACATGATGCGTTAAAACACTTAGGCTCCCCTTTCTTGGTTCCTGTCAAGTGTGAAGCCCTAACCCAAAATTGTGGAACAGACTGCCGCCAAATATCAATAAATCAGCTAGTTCAGTAAACGTCTCAAAAAGAAAATGTAAAACGTCTTTGCTTCAGCCTTTATAGATCTTGCACTTTCCCACACTCTTGTGCTTTTATGATTTTGATCACTTTCTTTCTTTTCAGTTTTTATACATTTTTTAATTTAATTTCACTTTCTTTATTTCCTGTCATTCTTATTTTTCTTAAAATCTGTTCTCTTACATGAATTACATTTTATCATCATACAAACATATGTAATTGCTAAAATGTGCTCTTAGTTAGCTATATACATATTGTGTTATAAGTGATGATGTCAGCAAATTGTGCACCAAAATGTTGACTTTGGAGGGTGTTCAGGGAATTTTCTCAGTCCTGAAATTAAAAATCTTGTCATTTTTATTTCCTTTCTTCTCTTTCTATCCCGGCTGTTTAAGGATGTGGATGAAGTGTATGCAGGAGATATTTGTGCTCTTTTTGGGATCGACTGTGCCAGTGGAGACACTTTCACATCCAGGACCAGCGCTAACCTCTCAATGGTGAGAAGCTTTAATGTGTCAAAGAGTAACAAGCTTGCTCTTTGTAAGATGTGTTTGGATATTCTATCGTTACTTAACGATATAAACATCATTGCTTACCTTTTTGTGCCACAGGAGTCCATTCACATCCCAGAGCCTGTCATTTCCATGTCAATCAAGCCAGCAATCAAGGTACAAAAAAAATCCTTTTATTTTATCCATATGTTCTGCAAAAATCCAACACAAGAGTCTAAGTAGCATCAACAACTCTCTTCTATCTTGTATCCGTGCAGAACGACCTGGACAAATTCTCCAAAGGCATCAACCGTTTCACCAGAGAGGACCCGACGTTCAGAGTTCATTATGACACAGAGAGCAAAGAAACCATCATCTCAGGAATGGGCGAGCTGCATCTTGAAATCTACTCGCAGGTACCCGGTCAGACAGTGTTGAGCCTAATGATGAACTGTTAAATAATGTCCTGAGATAACTGAGGTGCACTCAGTCGTGCTTTGAGGATGCAGGTCATCCACAATGTTTTTCATATTACTACCGACACTGGTGGTATTTAGTCTGTAAGTCTGAACAACTCAACTCAGCTGGTTATAAACCTTCATGTGAGAAGTTTTTAATTACTACTTTTAACCAAAGTATTTTTTCACTATCTGTCTCCATCCAGTAAAAAATAATTTCAATATTATCTCTCTCTTCATTAAGAGTTTTTTTTCTCATGCTCAAATACATTTTCTTCTGTAAATCTAATCTGACCTGTGTGGTTTTGTCTTGGTTTGTTGATTCAGAGGATGGAGAGAGAATACAACTGTCCCTGTGTGATGGGGAAACCCAAAGTGGCTTTCAGAGAGACAATCACCGATGCTATACCGTAAGTCCAGATCTCCTAACACACACACACACATTTGTTTGGTTTCAGGCTTTTCCGTCCCATTCCCATAATTGCAAAATCTCAAGAAAGCCTGAGGGAATTTCCTCAAATTTGTTACGCATATTTACTTGGAAACTTTGGTCATTAAAGGCCACAGTGAACTCACAAAGCACATATTTCGCCTTTTGACGGAATCCTTTGACATTTGGCACGAACTTTCACTTTGACTCAAGGATTAACTCACTTGATTTTAGTAGCCAAAGGTCAAGGTCACCGTGGCCTCACAAGCTATCTTTATGTTTTTCTTGAACATGAGGGAATGTCTTCAAATTCGGGAAACTTTCACTTAAAGTTTCCCGAATTTAAGGCCTTAACTATCACAACTAAAGGCCAAATGTATTGAAGTACACTCCCCAGTCAGACGGGGGTTGGACACTTGATGTCGCTCCACTCAGTAAACAGCCTCATCTTTATTCGTTACTTAGACTTCCACACTCTCAGATTCTCAGATGCTTTGGTGTCGGCTTTGCAGCTTGCTTTCCGAGCAAGAAAGCAGGCTGACAGGTCAAGCTGATAGTGAGCGCCCTCTGCTGGATTGAGGTGAACTACTCCTGATGTGGTTCTCGTCTGTATATCTTGAATTTGAACGAGTCTTTACAGTTTGAATATGACCTTGTACACAGCTAAAAACTGAACAGTAATGTGTATAAACAGTTTATTTTAGACAAAACAGAAACAGCCAAAAGAACAGAACAATGGAAGGATATCATGTCATTGTTTGTGACCCCTGAAATCAACCACTTCATTGGTGGTAGTGTGACGACTGTCGACAGGTTAGTTTGTGTTTAAGGGGATTTCATGGTGATGACTGTGAGGAAGCTGCTCCATCTGCAGCACTTTAACTCCCTCTGGAGGAGACCAGGTGAACAGCAGCTTCCAGTGGATGATTTCCTGCAAATAACAGACACCAGCTAATGAGACTGATTTTCACATCATAGCAGTTTAACAGTGTTTATCTTCTACTGAAGTCGTTGATGTAGAAAATAAAATTCATGCAAGATGCCTTTAATGCTGAATTTTATCAGTTTAGTTATAATGTTTTTTTCCATCTTGTTCCATGGATTATTTGCTCAGTTATATAGTTGTCTGAATGTAAATTAAAATAGTTGTAAGATACCTGGGAGATCATCTCATGCAGCAGTACATGATAGTCAAACTTCAGTTGGTCGTTCTCAGTTTCCTGCAGCAGACAAGGTAAAAACAGTCAGATATTAGAAACTGTCTAATACGGACATTATAGGTGAAATGTTCTGCTGACGCAGATTCCTTTATGCCCCTGATGACAAAATGTATTGTGAAGCTCTTTCTGTGGTCTACAGCTGAATATGGACCGACTTTGGTACAAACATTCACTTGGTCTCAAAGATAAACTGATTTAATTTCGGTGGTTGAACACCATTGTCAATATATTGATAATTTACATTTAACCAAAAAGTAGTTGGAGAAAAATGTGTACAGTGAAATTGCTTTGGTTGTCAGAGTTGCACAATTGCAGGGGTGAGGGGTAATTCTAGTTAATATGTGAAATAACGTAGTTCTCAGATATCAACATTATGAATAATCCTTTTGTAAAAGGCTTACATCAAAAAACAACAATGAACCCTATTTATCGATGGAGAGCTCAACCTACCAGCTGTGTGACGTTGGCCACCTGAGCCATGTTGTACAGTGTGTCTTCAGTGGATTCATTCAGCATGATGAAGCTGGAGGCCACGGTGCCAAGGTGCCAGAAAGGCTTCATGTCCGGGTCAATGTGACCGTAACTGTCTACAACAGGCGTGGAGTTAAAATTGTTAAACAGGAACACCGAGTTCAAACTGTGTTAAAATGCCCAAAAAGCTGCAGTTTCAGACAGTTGAAGTGCAGTCACTGTGTCAGTGTGTTGAATATGGCAGCATTATGTGGACTGTGTTGTATTGTCCTCACCAGGTAGATGTGCCGACAGCAGACTTTTGTTTGTCTTGTATTTTTGGAACAAGGCCTCCTCTTCCACTTTAGTGTTGAGTTTAGGGAGCTCCTCACACAAGGCCTGGACCTGTGGGGGGCGCTGCTGCTCTCCTCTCGGAAACAAAACCTCTGCAGTGCATTTCTCTGTTTTCTGGATCCGTAAAAAAAGAAAGAAGAGGCAAACGAGTCAGGTTTGATAAGAAAGAAGTAGAGAAGAGCGTAAAGAGCAAAGGTGTGGTCCAGATGTTACCATGGCAACCAGTGAGTCAGCGTTGCACCACCCTGATCCTCATACAACTGAATGTTTGTCTCCTTTTCGTCTAATGTTTGATAAATCTTGTCAACACTGGTTATACCTGTTCACTCCAAAGCCACAGATTATACAACTGTGACTTAAGTTGTGCAGAAGACCTTCAAACGTACAAGGGATATTCACCATCTTGTCCTTTATTCTCAAATAAAATAATTTGTTGGTGCTTTTAACATCTGGACAGAAACAATTCATATTTAGACCTACGCAATGATTGGGGCTCATGTCACTGTCGAAAATTATTTAAGAAAAAAGGCTTTTGAAATTTAATATTCAGACCCTCGGTCCAGAAGAATACAACCCAACATAGAATAAAATACATTCAAATCAAACATATATATTAAAATAGCTAAATGAATGTCTCCACAGCTGGGATCAGTAGTGTGTGCTGCAAAACCTAATACTTAATCAAACCAAGATGATTTAATTTTAATTTCATAAAAAAAAAAAATTATGCTTAATATTTGTAAGAACAGATGAATTACTTAAGATTCACTATTTACTCAGGGCTTTATCTAAAATCATGATGATCGCTCTCTCAAAATGTGATCAAAAGTAAAATTAGTAAAACGTACATTGCTGATGAAGTCCTGCACTGAGATCTCCAGCTTATACCTTCTTCCAGAGTCTGCCACATCCTGAAAGAGACGTAAACCACAATCACAACTTGGGATTCCGCTGTATTTTGTATTTAGATCAGTTTACATGCTGATTAGAATAAAGTTGTGTTCATATTTCTGGTGTAAAGTTCCGCTGACCTCTGCGTTTCCACTGTGGACCCTGTTCAGACCAATCACCCTGTACGGTGAGCCATAGTGGGTGTTGAGGTAGTGTTGGACCACCTTGGCTGCCCGCTGAGCAGGGTAATGGTTTGGGTTCAGCTTGCCAGTCGCCATCACCTCCTCCACGGCCTCCTCCGGCTCCAACACGTTTTGCTGTCGTGGACGATGAAAGGAAATAATGAGGAGTAGAGAAGCTGGTGTTGAGCAGGGACAGACTTTGACCCTTAGGTGTCAGCAGGGTGGAGCTGTAGACTAGTGTTTAGATAAGAAGTGCTTTAGGCAGAAGGAGAACATCCATCAAAGTGGAAAAGGACATGAAACATGCAGATGATGAAGAGTTGAGCAGCTGAGAATTGAGTCTGATCTTGCCTGTAACAGAAATGCTGAGGCTCCCTGACAGTCATTTGTCAGGTGGAAAGTTGGATCTGTTCCGTGTTCAGAGTCAGCTGCTCCTCATGCAACAGGAAAGATTACTTCCTACTTCCTCTGAAACCAGACCTCTATGAGGACGGCCCCTGTTTAAAGAGACAGAGCTCTTTTCTTTCACAGTATCCACTGTACAGAACATGTAGCGATGCAAGAGAATACACCTCTCAAAATGTTTTTAGCAGTATGGATTGATCAGTCAGATCTCCCCCAGCAATTGTACATGTTTTGCAATTAGATTATAAAGAAATTCCTTATCAATAGGTGACATAAGAGTTTTCAGACACAGTTCACTTAGAAGTCTGCTGAAAAATGATTTACTAGCATAGTTCATTTCTAATAACATGCATTGTAGAAGTATAAAACACAATTTTAAGAAGTACATGTGTTTTTTTTTGTTATATGAACAAATGCATTAAGTGACATATTGGAAAAGGGTAATTATTAACAATACAATACAAACTGTATAACTCTTTAATTTAACATATTATGTCGCCCTGCTTCAATGAATGGTTATGTTATGTCATTTCCTGTAGGTTTGATTTCACCCATAAGAAGCAGAGTGGTGGCTCTGGACAGTACGGTAAAGTTATCGGGGTCCTCGAGCCTCTGGAGCCGGAACATTACACCAAGCTGGAATTTGACGATCAGACAGTCGGCACAAATGTCCCGAAGCAGTTTGTGCCCGCCGTCGAAAAGGTGTGTGCAAATTTGACTTTAACGTGGTCACGGTCACCTTTGCAGCTGTGAAATGTTTAACATTTAAATGTTTTTGAAATCTTTTTTTTCATCTTCTCTTGTCATTGTTGCCTAATTTTTTCCCATAATGCTGCAGGGCTTCAGGGAGGCCTGTGAGAAGGGACCCCTGAGTGGGCACAAGATCTCAGGAGTCAGGTTCCTCCTGGAGGACGGAGCTCATCACATGGTCGACTCCAATGAGATCTCCTTCATCCGTGCAGGAGACGGCGCTGTGAAGCAAGGTGCGTCTTCAGTTTCTTGAGATCAGACCTCTTGTCATTTCACTTAAAGGTCCAGTGTGTAAGATTTAGGTGATAGGGATCTATTGGCAGAAATTGAATATATAACAATCCTCATGATGCTTTCACAAGTTTGTTTCATCTAAATTGTACGAGTTGTAGTTTTCTTTACCCTAGAATGGGCCCTTTATATTTAAATACTTTATACTTACATCGAGGGGACCCTCTCTACAGAGGCCGCCATGTTTTTACAGTAGCCCAGACTGGACAAACTAAACACTATTTAAGTTTTCTGACAACTGAAGGCTACCTGGTTCTCTTTCATGTTTGGAAGGGGAAGGGGAGGGTGAGGTGAGGGTATTCAGCTGCAACATGCAACTTCACCACTAGATGTCACTAAATTCTACACTCTTAACCTTTAATTCTGGGTCTTCTTCACCTGTGTTGTTGTCTTCACAGCGATGGAAAAGGCCAACGCGACCATCCTTGAGCCAATCATGTCTGTGGAAGTAGTAGCACCTCAGGAGTTTCAGGGAGCAGTCATTTCTGGTGTAAACCGTCGTCATGGTGTCATCACAGGACAGGACGGGGCAGAGGGATACTTCACTCTGTACGCTGATGTGAGTCCAGTTTGTGTATTTTTTACATGCACCAACTATCCTCAGTGTTTATCATCCTTCACCACTGTTTTGTACCTGAATAACTTTGGCCTGGTTCCCTCAACAGATTCCACTGAATGACATGTTTGGCTACGCTACAGAACTTCGCTCCTGCACTGAAGTAAGTTCAAACTAAAAGGGCATTTTCTCACCTGAAAGACTGAACCAACTGACATGTCTTTGTTACATTTGATCCAGTTAGTTTCACATCATAATTTATGGAGCGCACGGAAAATGTTTGTGTGTCCGTGTCATCACCTCCGTGGGCCGCGTCTACCTTTACCTGACGTTGGTTGGTAGAGTGACCTGCATCTGATATCTGCGTGTTCTCTAGTAAAGGAATATTAGTCTTTACGTTTGTAAAGTAAGAACTAAACCTTGAAAAAACATAATAAGTAAGTAATACAATAGTAACAATACTATATACATGAGTGGATGCAACTCTGTGGTGCATTAGAGTGCAGATCATGTTGAGCATCCAGAGGAGGAAGAGTTTAGGTTTGGTTTAGTGGATGATAATGAGAACTGTGCGTTTGAGCTTTTTCAAGAGCAAAGTGAGAAATAAACAAATTAATAATAATGTTAGTTTTGTTATTATATTGGTTATCAAGCTTTAAAAGAAGAAGACAGGAGGAGTGTGTCATTATGTTGATCTGCTCTCCTCAGCTGGATTAAAGCAGCTGTATGAGGACACAGAGTGTTTGTATTGAGAAGTCTGACGTCGTCTTCTATCATTGTTTATCTAGGGGAAAGGCGAGTACACCATGGACTACAGCAGATACCAGCCCTGCCTGCCGGCCACACAAGAAGAGCTCATCCACAAATACTTAGAGGCTACAGGACAGCTGCCTGCCAAGAAGAACAAGTGGAAGAACTGAAAACTCTCTGTTGGTTCAGTTGGACTTTTGACACCCATCCCCTCTTTAGACACATAATCTGCCCAGCATCAAGTGAGACTTGACAATAAGGCTTTAATCAGTGGAGCCACACAAAACGGACATTTTACTGTTTTGCAGTTAAAGACAATATTACATTCTGATAATTGACCCCTGTGAAACAGATAATGTATTTATTACTTGTATTTTAGCACAGTTTGACCTCTTGTCTCTGCAGTCCATTGTTAAGGTGGTGATTGTTGAGGAAAGCTCAGTGTTGACTTGAGCTTGTAATGGCTTTTGTACAATGTACAGAATGGTTATGATGTAGTAATGAGTGCAGCAAAGATAAATATCATTCTTTTAAAGTGTAGCTTTGTTTTCTGTGCAGATTATTACTCACAACTTAAGATTCCTCACATGTGCAGTGCAAGTGATTAGCTCCAAAACGGATTAGAATCCAAAATCTTCAAAAAGACACAGTTTAGCACAAAAAACCAGTCAGGTATCAGTGCGTCATTTCCTTCTCACCTGTCCAACAATCTCTGTTTCCTCTGCAGTCTCTGGGACACTGTTGGAATGAGCCAACATGTCGTCCGCTAAGGAAGCTTCAGGTCTGATCGTCACATTAAGGCTCCCAGTTACCCCCATTAACAAAGCCAGAAATACAATGATCTTTAAACCCATCATAGAACACTGCAAAACAGACGCTTGAGTAAAGGAAAATGCTTCTTCTGTGAGAGAATCCGAACAAGGAAATGTCCTCTTGTCAGCGTGGTGTTATATAAAGAGGAGGAGGAGGGGGAGGAGGGGGAGCACTGAGGAGAGACTGTCCAGACCCTGTTGCTGTTTTCCTGCCATGATCTATGTATTTCCTTCTTTCTTTCTTTCTTTATCGCTTAGCAAAACAATGCGACTCATTCAGGCTGTCAGCCTCCAAGTAAAGGAACAGTTATCTCAGTACAGCTGCTGCGCTTGACGCATGTGAGAACCTGATGAGCTGCAGCTTTGTTCTGGCTCCACATTGTGTTTCTGAAGCCTAATGAACACGTCCTGGTAATTTGAGTTAGTTAAAACTGTCTCCCTCTGATCTACACCAACACTTAATGGGTTCTTTCTTGGGCCATGTCTCAGTCTTCCACCAAGTTTCATTTAAATTCATTCAGTAGTTTTTGCTACTGAAAAACAAACCTGTGGACAGTGGTCAAAATATTGTCCGTTATGGACATAATAATGCTGTTGAGTTGATCTAAGCAACATCAAGACCACAGCTTAAACTTTGTGTTCTCAAATCTACATCTACATTGTAAAATTAAAATTCTTCATGGAATGAAACCAAGATAATGTGATTTTATTTTTGATAAACCAAGAATATTAAAACATAATTTATCTTAGGACTTCACCAAACAATCCCCCCACAGGGTCAAATGAGAACAACTGGATCTTGCAGTGACATTGTTTTTGTCGACTATCTGTTTAGCTCAGAGACGTTTGTCTGAGTTCTGTTGATAAGTGATGAGAGGAAGAGGAAACTGCAGAGGGAGAGAAACAGAGTGCCCTGGGACTCTTCAAACTGCTGATGAGGTGGATAACACTTTCACAGATATGGTGGATGTTGTTTTGCACAGTGGCGTCTTAACAGAGTCTATCCTGCTTTAGTTTGTCGAAGCAAAGTCCAAAACCCCAAGATGTTCAGTTTACAACAAATCCTCTCAGTGGTGACACTGATTTTATTTTATAGTTTTTCAGCCCCTGTCTCTTGCAAGTGTTTTCGGGTTGTCCATCTGTCCGTCTGTCTTTCTGCCTGCCTGTCTGTTCACTGAGACTAACAAATTAACTCATTAGAGTTCAGCGGTCAGTTGACCTCATAAGTCTGGAAATACGTATTATGTATGTAGCCGGAAAGTGCACTGGTTGGTGGAGGCATTCAACGTAGGGCAGAAAGTAGGTTGGGTGAACTTTATTGACACTTAACATGTTAGAAAATCACAATTCACTGAAAAACAGAGTAACACATCAGTCATTCTACTCTTAACAATATTCTGTAAATGTTGAATGATGAATATACTGGGTGTAGAAAGCAGTTATTGGTGGAAACTAACTTTTAAGACAGGGAGCACATCTCAGTCAACTTCTTTCTTCTCTTCTTCACATGAGGCACAGGCTGGAAAACTGTTTCAGGTTGGGCATCGCTACTCTGACCTGTCTCAAACTCCTGATTCTCCTGTTTCTTACCTCCGTCACTGTCATCCTGCTGCTGCCCCTCTCTTGGTAGGTTATCAATAAGCTCGTACAGGGTGAAGATGCTAAAGCAGATTTCGTCATAGGCCGTTTTGGCTCCACACTCAAACAGGCAGGCGAAGGCCACAGCGGGCGGTGCTCCAGGTGAGGGGGGCAGCTCCAGATAAGCCAGATCAGAGTAGGCGCTGGGGCCATCGTAGATCACCCAGGGGCCCCGCCAGCTGTCTGGGTCACGGGGAAACAGGCTGAGGAACACACCCAGATCCTTGCGTGCAGTGGTCCATGTTGGGTGGGAGTATACTACCCAGGTGGGGGTGAGGAAATCTGGGGGAGTGACGTGATGAGGTGACAAAGGGCTAGTGGAGACAGAGGTGATGTCAGGAGTGGAGGAGATGGTTTGATTGGAGTGGGTCATGTAGGATGTCCAGTGTCTGGAGCGGTTTGTATATTGGAGTGATTGTTGGTTAAGACTCTGGCACACATGTAACGGGGCAGGAAACCCAACAATGCTACCATGACAACCATTTCGAGGCTCCACCAGCCGCTGCACCAGCTGCCCCTCCTGAAACACAGCCCCATCATCCAGACTGAGGGACTGCACCCTGTAGCCGAGAGGGCTGCGAGCGTTACAGTACAACACGTTAGTCCCATCCTCCTCGTCCACTGACACCATCTGACACTCCACGCTCTCCGGGCCCGGCACCCCCTCGCCAAATCGCCAGGTTCTCCCATGAGTGTCGCTGTGGAAGCAGAAGGCGTGAGGAGTGGTCTGGCAGAGTTGTCCAAAACACTCCTTGCACTCGATGTGGTAAGCGTAGGCAGGAATGAGCAGGCGGCCTGACTTCAGCTGGATACCGTGGCCTGGGCCGAGAGCGAAGGTCGCCCATTCTGCAAGAGAGGAAGGAAGGAAAAAGGGCAAGGATGCAGGTTTTAGGTCAAGTTTTTGTTAATTAAACATAATATTTAAAGTGTTGTTTATTATACAAGCACAAGAAATGAAAAATCATTGTGTGTTTTTACTTTAGAACAAGCCCTTTATATCTTCACTAAGAGCAGATCCTCTTCTATGGAGTCGGACATGTTGCACCATCATGTTTCTACAAAAACCCAAAATAGCCAAAACCCGACAGGAACCTTTCATGTTTTTATGTTACCTGAAGGCCACTGTACATACTTATACACACATTGAAAGGGAGGGGTATTCACTTGGTTGCCATCTGCAACCTCACCACTAGAGGCCACTAAATCCTACACACTGGCACTTTAAAGGAGGCAGATGCCCTAAACACAAATGTTTTAATTGTTCTCAACTCCATTTTGATTTGTTTAAGTGAATAAGTTTATATATATATTGGGATGAACTATAGGTGTGTTTTTAGATAGACAGCACTCACTCAAATTGCATCTGGATGTAACATCTTTAACAAAATGTTTGATATTTCCATCTTAAAATGGCAGTTTTGTGTGTAATCCTCAGAATTGATCAGTGGACATCTGTTTTAGGATGAATATATCTTTTTCTCTGACCTTTGATAGTGTCTCCTATGACTCTCTTGGTCAGGTCAGTGACGGCTGTCCAGGTGTCTCCGTCATCATTGCTGGAGATGTAGCAGAGCCGGGTCACGTTCTTGCCCGTCACCAGCTGATATGACTCCGAGGTGTGGCCCAGGACAGCGATAAAGAACAGGTAGAGGGTACCTGTGAACTCATCATACACCGGGCAGGGGTTCATGGACCGGTGGCCTGACAGGTAAGCAGAGCCAAGGACACGCATGTCCTCCCACTGCAGCAGGGAAAGGACATTATAAGACAGTATAGTGGAGTAGATACAGGGAAATGATTAAGAAATAATGTGGGACATGAACAAGACAAAAAAAGAGCAACAAGTTAACCCAATTTCACAAGACACATTCAATTTCCAAATCCCAACTTTTCAGTCTCTGATTCTGTTTCCTTCATTTATTTTGTCTTCAAACAAACTCACACAACATTGTCTAATATAAGGTCAAAGACTGTGGAGACCCCTGACCTTCCATATGTTTCCTGCTTGTTTGCTGAGACAAAAATGAGACCCAGTCCCACCCCACAATTGATAATAGATATCCAAATCTAAAATAATTTAATCAGACACTTAAATCAGATCATAAGTTAAAGGAATTTACATGAGCTCAATAATTAATAAATACATAATTTGCAATGAACACAAAACAGTTAAGCTGCAACAGAGTCCGGTCTTCAAGTAAACGCAACCCACCTCCACATAATTTCTGTAGAAAGTGCCTTTCCTCATGACGAGCAGATGAGCCTGGGCGTCTGACGGGCTGAGTCTCTCCTCACAAAAGGCCAGGAATGACCTGGAGTGGGACAGGTAGAGCAGCGCCGGGACTCTGTACGTCACCCCGTTTGGCTCCTTGTGGAAAAGCACAGACCTCGCTGGGAAATAGGGCATCTTCATGCTCTCTGATGTGTGGACGTTTCTGGGTACAGCTCCCAATTATCTGGAAAGAGGAAGCAGAATCAGATAAACTCAGAAATCTTCATTCAGGCCAGTAAAAGATCATTTTCTAACATGTTCAGTGTCACTGCAGCTCAGCAAGTCAACACTGTCTGGGGAAAACACAAGAGAGGAAATTTCATGTTCAAAATACCATAACTATGAAAGACAGACAATTGATCTGCATAAGGCAGGAGACCAATGCCAAAAATCAAAGACATGTGAGGAAATGGTCTCTTTATATGATCACAGCAAGCAATGCCTGTTTCAGTGTTTAAATGGATTCACCTGACGACTTGAAAAATTGTGACCCTATAACAAGAATTTTACTTATTATAACAAATACAGGTAGATGCACCAAGACATGTTGCTAAAATAAGACAAAATTGTGAAAATTCACTATTTATAACAAAGACAATTGACATGAGTATATCTCGTTTTAGTGTAAAACAGTGTTGATGGGAGGGCAATATGTGCTGAATTTAATAGCTGTAAATATGGGAATAAAAAAGATTATATCTGAGAAAATTTCCCAGAAATCACAATTTAATTAAATCTCCATAAGAATGTAAACAGTTAAACATTTTTCACTGTATACATGTGCTATTTCTGAACCGTACATGAATGTATTCATGACTATATGATTCATCCAAATGCTGTAGGTGTTTGGGTATTACAGTTATTATACATGTCTAATTTAACTTTAATATGAGAGATACTGCAACAGAATCTAGTTCTGATATGTAGTTTTTATCCCAAAAAACAATTTCTGGAAAAAATCCAGTTTCTGAACATGCAATTCATCTGTGACTAATGTGGATTCTGTTTGTCTTCTCAACCCTTACAACAGCATTATCACAGTTTATCTGCCTGTTTTACATTTTCAGTCTGCTTAGATCTTCAATATACACTATTTAATTTAATCACACTTCCCTAAAAATGAATATAACTCCAAAAAAGATGCCACATACCTCAAACGTCGGACATACAAGTGTAACCAAGCGTGATTAATAAGAAAAAGCCTTTGGGAAGAGGAGCTGTGCAACTGACTGACAAAATGTCTGACCACAAACTGTGAAATAAAGCTGACAAATTTACACTTACAGCTCATCAGTGTGTATTCATCTGTTCTATAGTTATATAGTTCTCCCTATATAACGACATTATGGAGGATGTAATGCTCAGGTTATGAGCAGAAAAAGGTAAATGGCTGCAGGGTACTTACACCGCGAGAACTTCTGCTGCTTTGTGAGGACATAGTGTATGTGTCAGCACTTGAATGTTGGGTTGACAGTGTGTGTAGTTAGTGTGTTTGTGTTTGTGTGTTTTGGGGTGAGGGTTTGAAAGCTATCACCTCTCTCTTCTCTCCATCCTCTATTCACTGCAGCAGTATGTGGCACACTGCTCACTGACCCAGAAATGGACCACACTCATCACATCTAGAGCTTTGGATGAATCCGATGAGAGCAGCCATTGTGGAGGTGAACGCTGGACAGGAGGGCCACACACTGAACAATGACTCAATGATGCATCCTCTGTGATTTTCCCTTTCGTGTTCCAGAGAATGTGCATGAAATAATGCTTTGTAATTGTCATTGCAATACTGCTACAGCTTGGATTTGACTCTTGTTCGTCCACAGATTCTTAAAATGTGCCTATATAATAATAACACATTGTACTCATGGGGTGGACATACACTATGTTTTATGGGATCCCAAACATCTTTTAGGCTAAAACAATTGATGATTTCTTTGTAATATAATTCAAAACTCTTTTTTGTTGTTGTTTAAAAAGTGCAAAACCTGAAGTGTGTTTCAATCGTTGATCAACATTTATATCTCTGATTTACCTGATTAGAAACACAGCCATGTCATTAGTAAATCATCTTATTGAAAACGTATGCAAGAGTATTATATTTTATTTGCGGAGACAGATGTCCGATATTCTTCCAAAAGTCAACAATTATTATCAGTTGAATACTTCAGGTTATATTATTATATTTAAGTAAACGTAAGTGTTAAAAAAAAAATCTTCGTTGAAAAAAGTATACATTTTAAGGCTGCATGAGAAACTCGCCTGTCAGACTGCGCTCAGTGATAAGTGTGTACAGTTATGACGTAATCAAACAGCGACCCAGCCCCACATGTCTTCCTGTTGAAGTTGTAGCTGCTCACGCGAAGGTAGAGTAATTCTATGGTTGTTACATGATCGATAATGTCACAGCACCGATATAGATTATTGATTATCTGTACATCAACATGTTGGTCACTGCAGCCTGAGCTACAGCTAAACGTGAGGCTGTATGTTCGCTCTTAGGCTAACGAGTTAGCCTAGCCAGAGCTAACTGTGTTAGTGATTGGTTTAATCAGGTTTCACCTTTGTTTTTCTTCCTCTGCTTCTTTATTACTAACTCTTGCTACTTGCTAATTGATATGTCAACTAATGTAAAGCTTTCCATTTGAGTTTATTCCCATTTAAAATCCTAGTAACCGTCAGAAAACACGAGTTAATTAACATTAATTTGAACTTCTCAATGGTCCTTTTCATACCATAATGATTATTTTCTCTGAAATATATATATTTTTTTACCATCAGCCATGTTGATCTTCTCCTTGTTAACTTATATTCTATATATTTGAAGGGGTCACCATGGCCAGGCAGTGGTCTGAGGGCCACTCCACCCCCATCCTATGTGTTGGAGCTTCTCCGGGTCCTGAGGGCCTCCTCGCTTCAGGCTCCGAGGGCGGAGAGGTGACCGTGTGGAGCCAAGAAGGGACCATCATAGGCAGACTCACCCTCCCTGGTGAAGAGGACAGCACAAGTGTTGTCTTCTCACCTGCGGCTCCAGGCCAGCTGTACGTGTCTCACGGAGATGCTGTGAGCGTCCTCGACCCCAGGAACCTGAGGGGCCCTGTAGAGGAGTTTCAGGGCGCGGGGGAAGAGGAGATCAATGCCTTAGCTTTAAATGAGACAGGCTCAGCCCTGGCGGTGGCCGATGACTCTGGGGCAGTGCGAGTGCTGGAGCTTCCTGGGGGAAAAGTGTCCAGGACTCTTCGCAGACACACTAACATCTGCTCGTCTGTGGCTTTCAGGCCTCACAGACCCAACAATCTGCTGTCTGCTGGACTGGACATGCAGGTGAGAGAGGAGAGTTTGTACAGAATTCATGTCATCAACTTCTGTTCCATTTCTCTCCTTAATACTTCTGTTTCTTCAGGTGATGCTGTGGGGTCTGCAGAAGACTCGCCCGCTTTGGACACTTAACCTCCAGGATGTAGCAGAGGAGGAGGATGATCACCAGCAGCGTCCTGGTCAGCTTTTTAACCCACCACTGGCTCACTGCGTTTCAGTGGCGAGCTGTGGGAACATTGTAGGCTGTGCAGCAGAGGACGGTCGGGTGCATCTGATGCGGATCGGCAGCGGCTGTAAATTAGAGCAGCAGGGCGCAGTGAAAGCCCACAGTCAGGGAGCCTCACAAGCCCACTTTGTTCATTTACCCTCCCACCCGTACTGGCTGGTCACCGGGGGGAATGACGGCCAAGTCGCCCTGTGGGACCTCAGTAAGCACCCAGTTGTGGCTCCAGAGGGAAAAGCCAAACCTAGAGTGACCCCACGCAGGAAGGGTAAGCACAAGACAAAGAGGAAAGAACAATCGCAGGACATAGCAGAGACGCCACTTAAGGCTGAAGCAGAGAAAGAAGAAGCTGAAGTGGAGGATGAAGCAGCAGCCGCAGAGGATGTGAACTTCGACAAGCCTGGGCCCAAACTGAGCATCAGTCACGGGGACAAGGTGAACTGGCTGTGCCCCGGGGTGCTGAAAGGAGAACATTGTGTGGTTGTAGCTGATCAGAGCTGCAGTCTGACTGTCTACCCTCTGTCTCATCTTTAGTCATGCACTTTACACCATGATCTTAAAGCTCTGTTTTGGTCATAGCTTTGATTTCAAATGCTTGTTTTTTGTCAGATCATACAATCCTGTGTGCTGCTGTTAGTGTTAGGTACAGTCAGTTAGCTGCTGCACTTAATGACCCTTGATATTCTGAAGGTTTGGTAAAAGAAGTTGTTAAGTAATCTATAAAAGTTAATTTTGATGAAAGCAAAGTTATTTAAGAGCCAATAAAACATCCCAGTAACAGAGGATGATGGTTTATACAACTGTGTTCTCGGCTGTGTTAGAATTTACTCATCATGCTAAAAATAAGCCTTTCAGACCACAATCTGTTTGACTCTTCATTGGGAAGTTATTAGTTGAAATGAATAAGCTGAGTTTTGGTAGTTTAGGAAGGCACCTAGTGGTAAGATAGAAATTGTCTGATAAGTCTGAACTGAGGGCAAAAACCAAAGATGACCATCTGAACCATAGACTGTATATAAAGATAGACTACACGCATTAATTTCCCCTTTATCCAGAAATTAAGTCAAAATATCCTGGACATAAACTCTGCCATGTAGCAGAAATGGCATCATTTGGAGTCTGTGCATTAGTGGATAGAAGATAGAGCTGCTGTAACGCGGTCCCATCGATACACACACTAACTGCACATCCAGTCTCAACTTTAAATAACTAATGAAAAGCAAATTTACCGGAAAAATGAAACATCCTTGAGTAACTTGTATTTTGACTTTTTAGTTGTGTACATGTCACATCCACTGATATGGAGGAGGCAGGGTTTGTTACCAATACTGCAGCCAGCCACCAGTGGGCGATTAAGATGTTTTGGCCTTACTGTTGGGTAGCTGACATGAGGTTAATCCTTATATACTGTCTGTATACTGTCTACAGTATGAATGAAACAGTGCAGCACCAGTATTGTTAGTAGATCTTTACAGCAGCGATTAAAACATTAGATAGATTGAAAACACTGTTTAACTACATGTATAGTAGTTTTAATGCCATCTCACTTGTTTGATTTGGCTCAGAGGGGGTTCGGTGTGTGTGTGGTCCTATAAAAATGTCTTTGAAACGTACTTTGCTTTCTGAAACTGGATTCATTATATTTTCTTTAATGTTACATGTTGGTGGTCTCTGAAAATACCACGTTAGATGAAAAGAAATCTGCTTTTCATGTTTTACCAAGTCTGATGTGTTGTATAGAATTAAAAGAGGACGTGTCCCAACCGGGTGCCAGGCAGAAAATAAAACTGGTTGAAGTGAAAGATATTTGAAAACACAGATTACACAGCAACACATTTTTAATTGCTCTGAGGAACAGTGGTGCAGTTTTTTAAATGAATGTGAAGTAGCATCTTGTGAACTGACACCCCACAAACCCCTCATGTAATTATGCTATAGATAGAGCAATGAAATCTTTTTCTGTACATGAGTAAATTCTATTTTGTGCCTAAGAATCTTTACAGGCTGAATCTGTTTACTGTTACACGGTTAAACAAGTCTGTGTGACTGTATTTTTACTGCATAACAACAGCAACATGGATTTGTCTTCACTTACACTGGAACTTTTCTTCTGTTACCCTCTGAACAATATCAAGCATCAAATATATATTGTGTGTTTTTTTAAAACATGCTCAGCTACTCCAGAAACGTCATTCTTTTATGACTCGACAGATTCATACATTCATTGCAAATGCAAATTCTTCCACTCAAGTAAACCATCATTCTTCTGCAAACAAGCAAAACACTTTTCTTTAAGAACACTAGAAAAAAAGGCACAACTCTGACCGTTCAAATTTATGAATAAATGCAATTCATACCTGTTTCCACAGGTCAGATGAGCAAAGACAGAAAATGCAAAATAAACTATGATACTTTCTTGAAATTGCAAACCACAAATGTATTTTCTGAAAATCCTTTTAAGCTAATTCAAATAAAGCGTTATAATAGTTGTTCACAGTAAGATTTGTATTGAAGAAGCACACGGTCATTTCTCAGCACTGCAGAGCAAACTGACAGCTCAGAGCTTTCAGTCTTTTTTGGTGTTTTCTCACTGAATATGTCTCAAATGTTCTTCTAACTTTAATGTCATGTAAAGATAGGACCGTGTCTGACTCCTGTCAGACCTCCACTGAGATGGATGAGTCCATCCTTTTGATTATCGAGGTGACAGTGGACACGGTTGTGATCTGATCTTAGGTCTGTGCCTCTGAGGATGTTGAGTTTCTTGTTTTACAGCTTAGCCAGGCTTTTCTCCAAGGTCTGGATGTCTGCCTCCCCCTCTTCACCCTTGCTACTGCGGGCGCTGCACTCCAGGAACTCCACCTTCATGGGCAACTGGCTGAACTCAAAGTCCTTGCCTTTCTTTCCCAGATACATGCTGCCACCAACAGAGCCATCCTGAGAGCTGAGAGCTGCGGAGCGAGTCACCCGCAAGGTGTTCCTGTGGGAAGATGAGACAGTGTTAGAGTGTCTTCAGTGGATACTTGTCCAATAAATCTACACAGTTACTGTTAACTACGAGACTTAAAGGTCCAGTGTGTAAGATTTAGGTGAAAGGGATCATTTGGCAGAAACTTAATGTAGAATAATCCTCATGAAGTTTTCACTGGTTCGTTTCATCTAAATTGTATGAATTGTAGTTTTCTTTACCCCAGAAAAGGCCCTTTATATTCAAATACTTTATATTTACATTGAGGGGGTCCTCTCTACGGAGGCCGCCATGTTTTTTTAAATTTGTCCAGACTGGACAAGCTAAACACCTTTTGAGTTTTTAGGACAATTAAAGGCTACCACAGGTTCTTTTCCATGTTTGGAAGGAGAGGGTGAGGGGTGTTCAGCTGCAACATGCAACTTCAACACTAGATATCACTAAATTCTACACACTGTACCTTTAACATACGTTAATCATTCTATGACAGCTGTTTCAATATGTATTTAATGCCTGTTACAAGTTAGAGGTGTGGTGTTTGAAACATAGATGGTAACCAGGTATATCTTATAACAGATAACAAATGACAGTGAATTTTACTTACAATTCCTTTTCCAGTTGCTGCTGAATCAGTTTAGCTGATTTTGCCATGGTGATATCTGCAGGACAAAGACATCAGTGAAAAAACAAGTTGGTTTCTGGTGCAGGGTGAGGTGAGTGAAATGAATGTTATTTTGGCAGAGAAAGCTTTTTCACCTTGTTTGTTGCATGCCACCAGGATGGCTGGAACATTTCTGGAGATCACAGCATCTGTCAATAGGACGTACAGGAACTCTGCCACATCCCTCACCTCCTTCTGGAAGATGGCGCTGTCCACTACAAACACGATTGCTCTGACGAGATAAAAATATATAGATATACTAGAGCAGTAAAACTGGGCAAGAAAATTAAGCAGCAGCTACTACAAAAATTTAAGTCAAGACTCATATGAAAGAATATCAGAGTCCCACAAATACTTACACATCCCTATAATTGAAAATAAGGCGAAGAAGTCTAATAAAGAGTAATCCTCAAAATACGAAATGATCTGTCAAATTAAAGAGACAGTCGATATACATAATCTTTCCCAGTCAGTTTGTAGAAATAACTCAGTTATCAGTTCCAAAGCTACTTTCTCAGGCCTACAATTCAAAGTAGTGACCTCTGCAGACTCCCTGGATGTTTGATGATTCCACATTGTCAAATATAAGAATTGGCTGCATTCACTTACTCTGAGAATATGGTCTCTAGGAGTGTGGTGGTAAATCTTCACTGCTTTCTGAAGTTTTAATTGACTAAACAATCACAAAAAGTCCAAAAATGTGTTGATATTTGAGTGTTGTCCGTTCTCGTTGTCCTGTTCTCACCTGGCTGCAGACTTGAACTTCTCCAGGTACTGAGGGCGAAGACTGTCATGTCCCGGCAGGTCTATGAGAGTCCAGGTGCTGGCCTGAACATATGGAATGGAGACAGGGGACAACTGTAAACCAGGCTTCTCGTGAAAGAAAGGGATGATGAACAATGGAAGACTCACTTTGTCATTTTTAGCTTTGTACGGAGCACTGCTGTCAGTGATGGAGGTCTGTGTCCGCTTGAACTTCCCTGACAGCAGCTGCGGAAACAAGGAGAGCAGAGAAGCATCAGCCTCACACAGTCTGAACCGAGCAGATCGTCCCGTCGCGCACAACGTGGCGGGTTAGATCAGGTCGCAGGGACTCACCCGGCTGAAGAGCAGCGTCTTCCCGGAGTCGCACAGTCCGACCAGCAGCACGGCGCTGCGGACAGTCTTACTGCTCAGGAAGTACTTCAGAAACACTGACGAGAGAAAACGAAGAGGTTTGTCTCTGACTCGTTTTCATGTTTATCCTAAACTGATGCCTGTTAGCACAAAGCTTCAGTTTGAATGAGCTCTGAGCAACTGACAGTTAAGTTAGCACTTAGCTTGCTAGCTCACTGAACGGTTTTGAGGCGCTAATTCCTTTATAAAACCAAAACCATTACACAACAACAAAGCCGCACCCGCTGCGTACACAACAGCACAACTCTTGCAGCAACACTTTGTAGCCGAGGCGCGCTAACGCTGAGGGCCTGGAGCGCTAAGCTAACATTAGCATGCTAACTTACCACAGGTGATGACAACAACCGCCAGGGCGACGATCAGTGCGATGAGAAACACCGGGTCCTGCTCCTCCAGCTGCTGGCGGAGAGACTCCATGTACGGTTCAAACGGGTTTGCTGCCGTTTCCATCTCCACGTCTGCTGCCTCTCCCATGTTTCCCCCGGTGTTGTCTGCCTCCATCTGCCCGAGTAAAGCGAACCGCTGCCCTGCTACGACTGTGGGACACGTCTCCTTGTGTCTGACGGCTGTACGGGGGCTGTAGTGTCAACAGGGGGCGCTGTCGTCCAGCACATGTCCAGTTTATTCCCACAGTTTGTGGTTGAGTTTCAGAAACAGAACAAAACCAGGAAACAAAAATACAATCATGTCATTGTATTCTCTGATTTTGTCTCATGTAATGAGCTTGGGAGTTGCTTGAGTAAGTATGATGTAATGAATCTAAAATCTGGTTGATGAAATCAAAACTATGAGGGGAAAATCAATCAATCAGTTTTTATTTGTATAGTCCATATTCACAAATCACAATTTGTCTCATAGGACTTAACAAGGTGCGACATAATCTGTCCTTAACCAAATACATTAATCTGTTTTCTACATGTCTACCATAGAAAATACAAGTATATTTCAAGTATAAAGTCAAGTTTTCGGTGGAAATTGGTTTCCATAACTGATATTGCTGTATTCAAAAATCATTTCAGACATTGGTCGCCAAAGCTTTTTGGAGTTGATTTGGTTTTAAATATCATTTAAGTCGAATTAGTTGTCAATAAAACAATATAAAGCCTATTGTGTAATCGTTTTACAAACTTGTTTTTACCTTTTTAGGTGCAACTAGGCTCCCATACATGATATATCTATATGAAAAAAACTTTTCAGACATTGGTCGTTAGTTCATCTGTTTTGAAATATCAAGTGAAGTCAAATTATAGCTCTCAACAAAATAATGTATAGAGTTGTCATTTCAAACTTAATTTATTAGTTTTTACCTTTATGGTGGAGATGATCTTCCATATACAACATTTATTTTGGGGGAAATTTGAACAGAAAATAAACAAAGACACATACAAACTTGATCAACACTAGAGGTGCTGGACAGAAGTGATGAAGACCTGATGATCTACTTCTGGTGATAATGAACAGACGCCAGATTATCCTGTCATGTTCATTGTTATCCCTGCTATGTTTGCTCATACTATGCACATATACTATACTAAGTCATTGTGGGGTCGAGCACTCAAAGCACCAATCGGGTTAATAAACACAATATTGATATAAGAGCGTTAGAGTGACTGTCCGGGACCACACACGCATTTTACGCATTCGCTCTCTATATCTCACACTCAGTGCGCTCTTTACGCGCTCGTTCTCCAGCCCCCATATCCAGCGCGGCTTTTACGCACTCACTCTAGAACTCACACCCAGTGCGCCTTTTACGCACGCTGGATATTTGACTCCTCGGTCCTTGGCACGATGTCAAACGTCAGAAACCCAAATTATTCTATAGGAAGAGGTTGTGTGTCATTCATTCTGAGCTCATGAGAGGACCAGTCTGTTTCTAGTCAGGAAGGCGACATGACCAACTCATTAACGGTCACAGTAGAGTTTTTGACTTAGACTTGCTCTCCACTTCTCATCCCAGTTACTGTAGATCTGAACAGGGCTCTTAACGTCTGGATTTACTTGAACGTCGTCGACATTTTCGGATACTTCTGTAATTGATAACTCAAAAAGAGATGATGGGGTTGTCTTTCCTCTACGCGCTCTGTATTTGGATAACTTTAATCTCTTCTTCGGTGGGAACAGGGTTTGTTTACCGCTTTCCAGGCATCACAGTGCAGCGGCAGCGCATCAAATCGGAACAGAGCGGCAGCACTGGACCCCCAGGTACCGGGATCCTTACCCAACTCAGGTGAGAACAGCTGATATGAAGCAATTTCACTGTAGATGTTGGAAAAAAGAAACGCTGGAATGCTGGAGAGCTATTAAATGCATGAATTATTAATTGCTGATATTACTTGATATATTAATTTTCTTATTTGTTTATGTTTTCACTTCAGGACTTAGTGTTTAACATCCTCAGTGCTGTCACTGATTATGTTTAAATCCTTTCTTGCAGAGTTAACATTAAGAATGGAAACTCTCTTATGTGTGTTTTAGGAATTGGTGTCAGTATACTGTTTCCAAAACAGTGTCCTGTCAGGTGCACAATGGCTCTGAAACCACAGTGCAGAGAGTGTATCAGGGCTGCCGGTGGCCCGGACCCTGTTCCAAAGTCATCAGGTACTGTTCCCTCGCTGCCACCTTCTTCAGCCAAATCCTATCAGCTCCTTCTTTTGTTTGTGTTATTCACTGTTTATCATTCATGATGCCAGCATGGACTTAGTGTTCTCTAAGGGTGTTATGTCGAACGAACCAGGCTCTTGGATGAATGAGGAGAGAGCCATACCTGCACTTTCTATGGCCACCAAGAAAAGATCACACAATTATCAGTCAAATCAGATGATTCAATCATTTGGCGACTTTGACCCCCAAAAAGCCTGTTAAATGTATTTTTCCAACATGTTATAGTTCTATTATAGATGGACCAAGTTTAGCTTGTGTCAAATGAGTTTTCTCTCTCCTGTGTCACCAAGTGTTTGCTCACTGTGGGAACTGCTGGGTTTCTAATATTGTACGATCTAAACTTTACTACGCTAAGAGCCTTGAGATGATTTATGTTGTGATTTTGCATCATACAAATACAATGAAATGAATTGAATTGAATCAATGCAACGACCTGATTGGCTTGATATGTTTCCCATCTGGCTTTTATAAATCAGGCGACTGGATAATTGGGTGGAAGGGTGGGATATTTGTCAAACAAAAACCATCTACACCCTGGACCTCCCCAATCAGGAGTATTTAATTTTTTGTCTCTCTCATCTAATGTGTCTGTGTAACATTGGCAGACTCAGATGCAGAGAAAACATCAGTGCACAGATATGTGTAAAAACACTGTTGTATTTACTTGTGTCCCAGGAGGTCATAGACAAAGAAAGAGTCCAAACAAGGCTACAATCTCAGGGATTCAAATAAATGGTCATACACAGAGGTAGCATTGACAGTCTGACAGATAACAATAGCCTGAGTATGGGCTATAGAAAGGGTTTGCTAGAGGGAAATGCAGGGACAGGAAAAAGACAGGTACAGGTGAAGAGGTGAAGAGGTGAAGAGGCGTGTCTTCCTGTGTATTTGTGTTTCTGCATTTTACGTTTCCCTGTAGTCAGTAGCCATTTGTTTATTTCCAGCTACCGGACCCTCATCAGACCGTCCTTCAAGGTCACCTACAAACAAGTCACAGCACTGGAGTGGAGATGCTGTCCAGGCTTTCTGGGAGAAGAGTGTCGTGAAGGTGAGTTTCTCATCTCTGTTGTGTCTTTTTCTTCTCTTAGATGACACAACCTTTTGAAAACAGAGGAACAGACTGTGAGAATAATTCTCTGTAGCACTGAAATAGAGGCCATGTGTTTTGCTCGGACCCATCTGTGTCTTTTTAGTAGCACCAGGCAGCTTTTCCCACATCAGAGCGTTTTTTATGTTTGGTGGTGTGTAGTCGGGTAGTTTGCTAATCGTACTACTGTGCAGCTGTCGGCCTCTTGATGTGATTGTGACGTTGTTTGAATTCAGGCTTAAAGTCTGTTTTGGATTACTTTTGGGAACTTGGATTGCAATAAAACAACAGTTGAAAGGGATCCTGTTTACCTTTTTCTTCTGTGCCTGGAAGGAATCAAAACCGTTCTCCTTCTGTCTCATTCTCTCTCTTTTTTGTACTCTTTTGATTGAAGGTATCACACAGGCAGTTTTGCCCGAGTAACATCTAGGCTATCACAGTTAAAACTAGAATGGCACTCAGTAGCTTGGATGCCTCCACCAAGGCCCAACAGTCCCCTTAAAATTCAACCAAGCTGCACCAAGTTTCACACACTCATAGAAATAATTTCCCTAAAAATGCCTGACCCTGGGAAAAAGGTGAAAGACACATCTTGGATTGTTTAAGAAAGTGAAAAACTAAATTCTTGTATCTGTCCTCTGATCCGGATCCTATTGAATTCTTCCCTAAACCGTCCACCAAGTTGAATGGAAATCCATACAGTTGTTTTTTGTGTAATCTTGTTTACAATCAAACCAACCAACAAACACAAAGACGTGAAAACATAAGAATGAATGAAAAAGGAACTTGTGAGGAACATCCAGCTGTGGATCGTAAAGTGGGAGGTATAGTCTGTGTTTAGGTGGTGGGCAGCTCAGCTCCTGGATAGACCAGACCGCAGACTCTGAGCCCAGTGAAGAGCAACATTTTCAGCCACCACAGTCAACATGAAGCCACAGACTGGGAGGTGGACGGAGGTCTAATATAGGGCTGCCTTCACTCTGCTGTTTATACACCGAGCGTTCGGAAAGTATTCAGACGCCTTCACCTCTTCACCTCATGTTATGTTGCAGCCCTAAAAACGTCTTTACTTACCATCATCAATCTACACTCACTACACCATAATGACAAAATCACCTGGAGCCTGTCATGATCTGCCACTGTTAAGGACTTTTCTTAATCCTTTGTTTAGAGTTGTTTTGAACTGGTTCATATTTGTACTTCAGTTTAAAGGACTTTGAATTTGTTTTTCAGTTGTATGGACCTTGATTTTATTATTTCCTGTTTAACTTTTAAGTTTTTTACTCACATGATTTACTTAGCTGGCTAATTTATCCTGTTTCCCGCTGTGATTATCTGCCCCACCCGGATGTTGTTATTTAGTCTCTGTGTTCCCAGTGCTCCCTGTCAGTTCCTCTGTTTGGTCTGTCCGATAAGTTTTTGTTAACTCATACTTGCGTCCCCGGTGTTTCCGGGCCTTGTTCCTGGGTTTTGCTCATGTTTCTGCTTTCTGAGTTTTTTTGTCTTTGGATACCTCACATCTTCGTATCTGCCACTAAATGTCCTTTTTGCAAGCACCTGCCTTGTCTGCACTTTGAGTCCAGTAAATATTTCAAACTTTACAGAATTCCTGTTGTGGATAAATCAATTGATTGAACATGAATTGGAAAGACACATCCCTGTCTAAGGTCTCACACCTGACAATGGACATCAGAGCAAAACCCAATCCATGAGGTTGAAGGAACGTCTTGCAGATATCAAAGACAGGATTGTTTTGAGGCACAGATCTGGCAAAGGCTGCAAAAACTCCTGAAATTTCCCAAGAGCCACATTGGCCTTCAGTAATCCTTAAATGGAAAAAATTTGGAACAAGTAGGAGTTAACTGGAGAGAGGAACCCTGGTAAGAGAGGTGACCAAGGTCCCTCTGGATGAGCTCCAGAAATCCTGTGTGAAAGTAAGAGAAACTCCCCAGAGAGAAGGTCTGAATAGTAATGTCAGTGTGATTTTTAATACAATTAGAAACATTTCTAAAATTCTGTTAAGGGTATTGAGTTTAGATTGATGAGGGATTATCATTTCTATGTTTATTTTCCGTAAAGTTACCACACAACAAAATGTGAAATCAGTGAAGGACTCTGAAGTCTTTATACTGTACTCCGTATTGCTCATGGCCATACTCACATGTAGTTATTTCAAATGCACCAAATGTTATTCCAATGTATTTTTTTCCTATTAAAATTATTTAGTACACCCACCAACTTGGTAGTTTTTCATGTTGGGAAATACAGCCGTTTTTGTAAGTAATTGAAAAATGCTGGCGTGGCCTGTTCACCATCGTCCAAGATTAACAGTTACCTCAATGAGCGTGTTGTGCCTATTGGTAATAATTACCACACCTTGTTCCATTTTGCTGAATTATTGGTTGTTGCACTTGGATGGGCATGATTTACCACAAGTTCAGAAAACACACCTTAATATTAAAGGAATAAACATAGACATTATTACAAAGCCTTTGGAAACTGTTATTTGCCTGATGCTGGATATTATTCCTCACAAAGATTAACACACAGCCATATCCGCTGAGTCTGTAATGCCTGAGATTATGGTTCACTTGAGACCAAAGTGGTTGCAGGAGTGTGAAGAAGTAATCTGGCTGTTTATTTAACATTTGCTGAGATGTTTTTGCACGTTCTAATGGCTGTGGAGCAGGGGGAAAATCGCCTCCATATGGGGAGACAGAGGGCCAGGTTTGACTGAGTGAGGAGACCCTCATGACAAAGGCTGATGTAAGAGATGCTCGGCCTCACACTGAGGAGGAGAGGGAGCGCTGGGGTCAGTGTGTTTGAGTTAGAGAACAAGAGGACGCATGGAGTGGAGAAAGTTAGGACTCCTGCACAGAAACAACAAGGTGTTAGAGTTGGCGAGGCTCAGACAGCTGTGCAGCAACATGTAAAGAGGAGAAATGCAAAGAGAAAAGTGAAGTGTAATGAGGAGTGTATTTGTCCCACAGGACTCCAGCTGCTACAAGCTGCCCAGACAGCAGCGGAGCAGAGAGCCGGTTCTGTGGGAAAGTGGCCCCACAGAGATTAATGACCATGACGCTCCTCCACCGGGTCTTTGTAACATACGTGACCGCGCTGAGATCACAACAGCTATGAAACAAAGACTGGCTCTCCTCATGTACATTCATCTGTGTACAACACAAAGAAGTCTGGCATCCTATCAGGAATACCTTGGAAAGAAAGGTTGATCTTATAATATAACCATCAGAGAACAATTTAAAGTTATACCACAAACCTTTTTCTGTGGTTCTTTAGAGAAACTTTTGCTTTAAGTTTTTTTGAAGTCCTCAAATTTTATTATTTATTAATTTTAAAGAGAATAAGCAGCGTTTCAGTTGAAGCCTCCTTCGCATATGTAAGAGTCCCGCATTATTCATTTAGCCTAGCAAAGTTAGCATAGAAATGGTTCTGCACATAAACCATTGTGAAAAAACTACTTTTATTCATTTGTGTTTGGAATTAAACAAATATATGGGTGTGTGTATATTAGATAAAAGTTGCTGATGCTCCCATTTTCCAGTCTAAGCTAAGCTAACCGTCTTCTGGCTCATAACATCTTGTACATTACAGTAAACAGACAGGAAAGTGGTATCAAATAGTCACAGCAACAAATCAAACAAGTATTTTCCCCAACATGTCAAATGTTTCCTGTAAGTGTGGATAATTTTGGTCGGTAACAGAATTCTCTGTAACGAGGCCAACGCCGAACATGAAGCTCGAGTAGCAGAAAACTGTTGCCGCGTGGCTCAGAGCCAGATGTTTTATCAGCGCGAGCGAAGACAGCCTTAACCAATGAAGATGACATCACCTCTGGTTTTAGTTTGATGGGATTCTGGCTCCACTTCAGAGGCCCCTGAGGCCCTCGGAGATGTAGAGACAGGGAACATAAAGAAAGATTTTAAGTCTGTGTAAGCTGAGGAGTTCTTCCCACCTCTGCACGCACTCTCGTTTCCATTTTCCAAGCTCTGAATCATTTTCTGCATGACACTGATGCCTTATTCTTTTATTACCGTTTAATCATTCTGAAATAAATACATTGAATAGTGTTCCCCTTGTTTTGGTTTATAAAGCAGGCTCACTACACAACAAAGGAGCTGAGCATGTAGTTGTAAAGGTTTCAGAATTCAACATTGATGCAACAGATGCTTCACAGCGCTATCAAAATGTTTACAGCTAATCAGTTTTTTAGGATGAATCATTATCTTAGTTTTACAAGCAAACTAGAATGGCACTATGTACCTCCACCAAGGCTGCAACAGTTTATGATACCACATTTAAATTCACTACATCCAGATTATTATTTGGATCTGCATCAAATTCAGACACTCATAAATATCAATGTCTCCTAAACATGCCAGAATTTTTTTTCATCAAGATCCATTAATTATTCTCTAAGAAAAATGTTGAGAAACGCCCTCAACGTCTCACAATGTTAAAGGAAAAGAAAATAAATTTCTGGATCTTCAGCCTGATACAGATCCGCAGCAAACTTTAAATGGGTCTTCCGTTGTGTCACGTGTCCATAAAAATGAAATGAAAATCAAGTGTTTTTTGCAGAATCCTGCTAATGAACCAACAAACAAAGATGAAAAGGTAACTTCCTTGGCAGAATCAACAATGCTAAACTCTGCCTCCTCCCAGCCTCTGAGTTGTGAGGATTGCTGTTCTCTTTGTCTTATGTGAAACTAAACATATTCACATGTTGAACTATTATTCACACAAAACAAGGAATTTGAATGCATCACCTCTGACTGCATGAGGCTGCAACGGACACCTGCCACTGTTCTCACTCTGTATTCATATAGTCTTGAGGAGTCTTGAGGGTCTCCAGTCTTGATGACTCAAAGCCCTTCACAGCACAGTTTTGCCATTCATCCATTCGCACACACATTCATACAGTGCGTCTATGTGCAACTCTC